ATGTTAAAGAAAAAATAATCATTCTCAGGTTTTTTAAATTTTAATATAAAAAATTAGGCCAAGATTTTCTTTGTTTTTTTCAAAATGTTTCGACTTTTATCATGAAAAGAGCGAAACCCCTTTTGTAAAGTAATAAAAGAAAGAGACACGTATAACATAACTGGGAATGGGAAGAGGGTTATTAAAAAATGAATTTACAACACATTTTATTTTATGGCATTCTTCTTCTTTTTCTCATTCTAAGAAATCTTGTTGAATCGTGAGAAGAAAAATTACAAGATATAAAATAAAATTTAAACCTAAGAAGCGGAAGGGGGGGGATTAAAGGCGGTGGGAAAATGGGTCAGGGAGATAAGTCATGATAATATTTGGCTGACTTTGTCTGTTACATTTGTCTATTATAAATGTCTATTATCTATGTCTATTATAAATGGATATTTTATTTTATTTTATTATATTTATCTATTATATCTGTCTATTATATCTGTTTATTTTAAATGTCTTTTATCTATGTCTATTATGTCTATCTATTACATCTGTCTAATATATCTGTCCATTAAATCCTCTATTAAATCTGTCTAATACATATTTTTGTCTATTAAATTTGTCTATTATATATCTGTCTATGCTATCTGTCTGTAACAAATGCCTTCCTAAAATAGTTTTTTAAGTATGTATCAATCCAGATACAACTCTCTCTGTATTCTTAAGTGTGTATTGTAGAGGATCTATTTTCTCCTTAAATCTGAACTAAGAATCCTTGAAGGAAATGGAGAAAATACGGGAAAAGATATATGCTGGTGTAAATCCAGTAGTTCTCCAACCTGCATCGGATCAACATGTTCTCCTGCATAGTAGTTTATTACCTACAAATATATTGCTAATAAACTATATCATAGACTTGTTCTTACTCTCTAAAGTATCAATCCAGATACAACTCTCTCTGTATTCTTAAGTATGTATTAATCCAGATACAACTCTCTCCATATTCTCAAGTATGTATAATCCAGATATAACTCTCTCTGTATTCTTAAGTGTGTATCAATCCAGATACAACTCTCTCTGTATTCTTAAGTGTGTATCAATCCAGATACAACTCTCTCTGTATTCTTAAGTGTGTATCAATCCAGATACAACTCTCTCTGTATTCTTAAGTGTGTATCAATCCAGATACAACTCTCTTTGTATTCTTAAGTATGTATCAATCCAGATACAACTCTATCTATATTCTTAAGTGTGTATTAATCCAAATACAACTCTCTCTGTATTCTCAAGTATGTATTAATCCAGATACAACTCTCTCTGTATTCTCAAGTATGTATATATTTATCGACACACTAAGCTACAGAACTCTATAATCTCTACTGAGCAATGGTATCTGTAACCGCCCGTAACCAAATTCTATATTCCACAAAATATATTTATGTATAAGGTACATTTAAAGGTTAAACTGACCGATAATACAGTCAGGTGATAATTACGTAATATATATACAGGTAGGTTCAGGTTTCCAAGATATGGGGATTATTACAATATGTATTACAAGGATATAAAATCTTCTATTATATATGTCTATTATATTTGTCTATTATGTCTTGTTTTGTTTGTATTTATTGACCTGATATCCTACTTTCTCATGTTTTGTTTGTATTTATTGACCTGATATCCTACTTTCTCATGTTTTGTTTGTATAAATTGACTTGATATCCTCCTTTCTCTGTTTTACTTCTTTGGAATTTATTTCAATTTTTAGATTAAGATTTCCTGTTATTTGATGAAAAATAAACACCCCTACCGAATAAATCATTTCACCTCTTACAAAAACCGGATCAATCTGGACCCGTGAAGGCCTTATGGAACTTTTCCTCAAGTTGCTAAGAATTAACCCTTAAAAACTTTTTTTTAAATTAACGGCGAAATCTTTCTGAAATGATTGTTTGAAAAAGTTTACGGGATGATTATTAAATACATAATAATCACCACGTAACATTTTTTTCAGAAGGTCAAACCCATCCTTGTAAAGAGTATAAATTTATCATTTATTTAGTTAATAAATGTTCCGCCTTTTATTTACAAAAGTTTTATTGTTTTATAATTCTTAACAGCTTCAAGATTCATTCAGTGACGCCTTTACGGGTCCAAAATTATCCGGGAAAAAATGGAAACTGTTCTCAAAAATCTCTCTGCATTTTACAATAAAAAGAACCTCGTTGCTGTTCTAAATCTATATGTCTAGGGCTACAAAAACAAAGGTCGAGGCGTATTGATTATTCAAAGTCGACCCAGTGTTAAAAATTGTTGCACAATTTTCCCAGCTGTCTGGATATAGATCTGGCCTGGAGAAAAGCAAAGAGAATTGCTCATTAGACACTAATATTTCTTATACCTGCGGTTTCATTAACTAGATGAAAGTATACATCTTGTAATTACTGTAAACCTAGATCCTAAATTATGCAAATCTAAAACCAAGGGGAGATTTTTTTAAATCACTAAAAAATAATTATTAATAAGATAAGGAAAATCTTCTACTGTGACAAACAAAAATATTTTGAATTATCTAATATATAACTAGAGGAGCTACGACTACGAGGTTAAAAATAATTTCGCATAAATGTGACCGTCTCTTTCTGTCTAGTTTGTAATGTTTATATATTTATCCATGCACACCCTGTATATATATTTATCTGTGCACACCCTGTATATATATTTATCTGTGCACACCCTGTAATACGCTAGTTAGCACATAAAGGAAGGAAATGACAAAGATTATCTTGTTAAATAAACCATTCCTAATTATACCAGCTTAATTTTATGTATTGTATTTATTTTACCAGACATGTACCTATCACGGGCAGCCGTGTAGTACATTTGAATTTCCGAGCCGGGTCAACCTTTCCGGTTCCAGTTTGTACTGTATAGCCTGGACACATTTGTTCAATTCTAACAATTCGGCCATAAACCTTCCCTGGAATCATTTGAGGTCCCATAAAAAATGTGCAGAATTTTTCCGGTTAAATAATAGAAATTCTAAAGAAATTTTTATTCCTCTCATTAGCAATATAATTAGATATGTTCTGATTGAAAAATAAAGATTTTGATTTACTTTAGTTTGACGTAGGATAGATAGATAGATAGATAGATAGATAGATAGATAGATAGATAGATAGATAGATAAATAGATAGATAGATAGATAGATAGATAGATAGATAGATATAGATAGATAGATAGAAGGATAGATAGATAGATAGATAGATAGATAGATAGATAGATAGATAGATAGATAGATAGATGAATAGATAAGAAACGGAAATGTTTATGGACGTATATTAATCACTTTGTGTAATTAAAACTAGTTAATTACACGCAATTAACTCAATATAAGCAACCATACCTCACTATCTCATGAGGTAGTTCTTGTAGGGAATAGTCTCTCATAATGGTCCCGCCACCAGAAATCCTATTTTGCGGAATATTTCTTTCACAAATGTTAATTATTATTTCTAAAAATACAAATAATTTTAAAGTGTACAGTTAGTGTCATTTTTGATTCGCAATGGTACCTTTTTTTTACTTTTTAGAACTTTCTATGAAAATTCCTTATTTTCGTGAGGAAAATTGAGATCCGGTAAAGTCCAGTTTCACAGCATTCCAATTTCAGTCTAAAAACTAAGGATTTCTCTGCCATGGCTAATCAGACAAAGGGTTTAAGATTAACGTTTAGAGTAGTGGACATGTGAACATGTCTCTCTATGAACATGTCTTTCTATGAACTTGTCTCTCTATGAAAATGTCTCTCTATGAACATGTATCTCTATGAACATGTATCTCTATGAACATGTATCTCTATGAACATGTATCTCTATGAACATGTATCTCCGTGAACATGTCTCTCTATAAACATGTCTCTCTCTCTCTATGAACATGTCTCTCTATGAACATGTATCTCTATGAACATGTATCTCTATGAACATGTATCTCTATGAACATGTATCTCTATGAACATGTATCTCCGTGAACATGTCTCTCTATAAACATGTCTCTCTCTCTCTATGAACATGTCTCTCTTTGAACATGTCTCTCTATGAACATGTCTTTCTATGAACATGTCTCTCTATGAACATGTCTCTCTATCATGTCTCTATATGAACATGTCTCTCTATGAACGGAGGTTCACTTGAAAGTACGTCTGCAGTCCTGTTAAGGAGCATAGTTGTAATTATAAAACTAATTATGATTAAAATCATTAAAACTCATAAAATTTATAAACTTTAATTTCACATTTGTATTTCTATTGTGCATTAAATCACAAGATAATACTAAATAGAAATTTTACGCAAAATCACAAAAAAATAATATAGTTTTAAATTTTATATATTATTTATTTTCATTTTTGGAGAATTCAAATATTTTTTTTTGTTTTAATAGAGTTTGACTTTTAGTAGGGGTTAATGGATTTTAAGCTCGAAGTTTGAATTTATTTGTGACAAGTATACTCATATTAAAAAATCATTTTGCTGTAGACGTATTTATATGTGAAGTAAGCTTTATTAGCAAACTCGTACTTTTTAAGTAAAAGAATCAAATTCTTCAAAATGAAAGGTATCAAAAGATAAAATCGTAAAACCAGAATGAAAAATATTGAGCTTTTAAAAAGTTATGTTACGTCTTTTTCAAATATGCTAAAGTTTGCTTATTTTAGTTTTAGTAAATCTTTTTTTATATTCGCTTTAAGAATGACTACCTAACGTTCAGGTTTTATTGCTTAAATGGTTTTAATAAATGCGCAATTTGTATAATGGCAGAGTGTTCCAGATGTTTTATTTCAATATTTCTCATATATTTTTCATGTTATTCTTTAAAAAATCATTTCAAAATTACAAAAAAAAATTGAGTTTTATGTGAAAAGTTTGCATTTGAATTTAAAATTTACTGTTTCGTACACTTTTTGTTTACTCATATTGTTTATTAAGATAAGGTCAAGTATAAAAAGCCAGTTTTGTTTTTAAAGATATTTAAATCTTAAAATGAAGGTAATATTCTGTATCTTTGCTCTGTTCTGCACCACGCAAACCCTTGGGTTTGAAAGCTGTGAAGAATGCCTTGAAACTATTCCTCTAATTGGAACCTGGATCCACGAAGGTAGAGATGGGCGCATTCGGCATTTTTTTCTTTTCGTTTGTTCATCGTTCGTGAACTACCCAATTTGTTCGTTTTTGATAACATTTGTTTTAAAAAAATATCGTTCATTTTTCATCTTTTGTGTTCGTTTTTTCAGTGAATGAACGTATGAATGAAAGTATTATCGTTCGTTAAGTAAAAAACGAACGTTCGTTTGTTCAAAAAAACGATGCCCATCTCTAGGAGCAGATGATATCGCGTCCTGGCTTGAGGAGAACTATTGTCCTACTGTAGAGGATGAAGAGTGTGCTATGCATGTTAACGAGATGTATCCAACTATGCTGGAGATGATCGCTGAGGAGTTTATTATTCTTAACTCTGTCAGGTAAGATGAGTTTGGAGGGCAGGGGGGGGGAGGAAAAACCCCCCCCCCCCCCTCCCATTTTCATAAAACTAATTATTCTTTTAATAAGAACAAAATGTCAGAGACATTTCAAATTTTTGAAATTTCTAAAATTCTGTGAATAATTTCAAAAGGAATAGTTTGAAACTTTATACTTAAGTTTATTTAATATTACAAATAAAATGTTATTTTTGGCAATATCACAAAGGAAAAAATATTGTTTTCCTAGAATTTGCAACCATGTTCACGCCTGTGATTTGAAGGAAACAGATCCTATATTGAAGGTATTTATTCTACTTAGTTATTTAGTACTTAACTTAACAGTGTTGGAGAGATAGTAGATAAAATATCAAGGGACCCTCCAGGGACAGAGAGATAGTAGATGTAATATCAAGGGACCCTTTAGGGACATAGAGATAGTAGATGTAATATCAAGGGACAGAGAGATAGTAGATGTAATATCAAGGGACCCTCCAGGGACAGAGATATAGTAATAGATAAAGATAGATTACGAAGACGACATTTTTCATCTTGAAAGATATAAATGTACAGAGATGTTTTAAAGATATTCCTATTATATAGATTAACTATAGGTCGGTTGTGAACATTGGCTTTTCTTATGTCATTGAGTACTTGTGCTGTACATGAGTTCTGTAAAAAGAAATTTAAGTCAGTTTAGTCCTTCTCATGTCCTTCAGTTCTCATCAATATGATATATTGCTCAGTAAAATAAAATTCACTCCTGAGTGGTTTAATAATTATGAAATCCATTAAAACACCAAACCACCCCGCTTATCATTGAAGTAGACTTTGACCCCAAGAAGTACGAGTTCGCGGACTGTACAATTCTAGGTGATTTTGCGTACATAAGCTATCTATGTTTATTTATTTATCTATGGAGATAGTAGATAAAATATTAAAGGATCCTCCAGGGACAGAGAGAAGAATGTTCGATTAACGAAAGTTAGAAACTGTTGCCTGAGCAAAATAAAACAGGGTTTACAGGGTATCTGTGTTCATCGGAGGTGTCACTGTCTAAATGGAAGTAAATATATTAATATCTATTCAGGAAATGACATGCCAGGATTGCGATAGAATTCTTGGAGATGTCAGAGACATGCTCACTGATAGAGATCAAGTTCAAGGTTAGATTTTTCAACATTTTAGGTGACCTTCCGTGTCCGATTCATCATAGCTGATGGAGAAATCCTTTTTTCACACTCGTTTGCTTGTTTAACAAAGCTTTCAAGGGCACTTTTCGTCTTGAAATAACAATGCCTTTTAATTAAGTTTAGGGATCCTGTTGAAATTAATAACAAACACTAATGTTCTAATCTCTTTCTTTTAGCGTTTATCTATATTAGTTCTTTATCAGAAATTATGGTTTGAAATGAAATATCAAATTGCTTAACCATCAGGTTGCAAAGGTTAACAGATTAGATTGAAATATAGAAAGTTATCGACTTAATTGTGGAGTTTCTTAAAGGAACAGTGCACTTCATATTCATATTTTCATTTAACTACAAAGCATGAGATATTACAAATAAACAGTCACAATTTACTATGTAGTTTGGACCCGCCTAACCAGGGTAGGTTGTTTTGAGTGGTTGGCCAGAAGTTAGTTAACGATACTGAATATAATTGGTTACACATTATACATATCAAGTTATGTTTTTGGATAGGTAAGGAGTTGATTGGAAGGAAGGAGATTGTCAGGTGATCTGTGGCAGGGTGAGATCAGAGGGAATGTAGAGATAAAATAAAATACAGGGTGTTAAGGATACACAAACACAAATGGGCTAATAAAGTTTTATTTTTTTTATTTTTTTCTATAAAATATTTTCACACGATATACAACTAGGTTTTTCGCATATTTTTCGCATTTAAACCTCTCGTAATTCTCAAGATGAATTAATCTGCACATAAATTGACATGTCTGAGTTACAATAGTACCCTCAAAACCTTTTCTATCTAAACTGACTTGCAGAGTTGTCTGCAAAAACATATTGAGGAAATGGTGAATATGAAATCTTTTTTAAGCTGAAAAAAAATGAAGATATATTCAACATTATTGATCAGATAATGGTGCATGGTGTTGTATTATAAATCGTATATGTCCTCATTAAATTGAAACCTGCAGTAAATAGAAAACATTCAAATTCTTTAATTTTATCTAGAAATGGAACATTGGCTGGAACGTCACTTCTGCACTGAAGAAATCCCCCACTGTCCGAGATTTGTGAGGACCCACTTCTACCCAATGCATGAAATGGCAATGAGGCACTTTCTCCACCCTCATGACAACTGTGTCAGGCTGGGATACTGTCAGTAGTGCATGAGATGCAATAAGTTGGTTCCATTTTCATGCTTTTTAGAACTTTAAATGGTTCCACAAAATCTAAGAAACTTTTTTAAATTTAAAAATTGTTTGTATTGAACGTTTTGTTTTCTTACACTACGCTAAGTTTTAACCCTTAGAGAAAATAAAAAATAAAACGAACTAAAAAACGAATAAAAACTTGTTAAACAAACGATTTAAGGTTCGTTTTGCTTTCGTTTTTCTTTTAGGATAAAAATGCAGTAACGTTTAATAAAACAAATCATAATACATTAAACAACCCAAAATGAAAAATCATGGCGTTATTAATTATAATAAATATTGTTTTTCTTTGAATTATATTTAAGCTGTTTAAATCAATTAGAGTAAAGATAATACAGAGAAAATAAGTGTTTCCAATGGAATGAAAATGTTTATTCCCTTTTGAGCCTAAAAAGGGTTTTAAAGTGTAAAGAAATTGATTCTTTCCTTTAACCTCGGATTTTCTAACCCCCATATCGTTGCAACCCGATGGCGTGGACCTTACATATTTCAAACTAAGAATTATGCGGGATCAAATAATCTTAGTTTTAAATATCAAAGGTTTACAGCACCAGGTTTCTAAGATATAGAAATTAGAACATTTGAGTTTGAGACAAAGAATTAATTTTCCTTGTATGTTGATGTTTACGAAATGCATTATACAATAACTGGATAATCTGTTTCAAGTTTATCTTAATATAGTGAGAACTAGAAAACCGTGGAATAGGAAGATTACCTTAAAGCAAATAGTTTTATCAAGGTAGTAACTGATGTAACATATTTTACCGCCTTTTGACCAAAATTACCGACCTATAGGTTAATTAACGTCCCTAGGGACAGTTATGTAAAATAACCACCCGTTCGATCTGCGAAGTTTTCGGGAAAAAATTAATCCATTTCCATCTCAAAAGACGATAAAATTGTGTACAACTATTTTTTTCGGGAAATTACAAATTTTACTTTACCACGGGTTCTACAAAACATTTCTCCCTGAGATGGAATTTAAAGAATTTGAGCCGCGGTTTAAATCCGTCAAAATCAGCCAAAACCCGGTTTAAATTTAGCGCCGGCTTAAATCTTGAAACATTTGATACAATTTTAAGTGGAACCAACCATATTTAAACCGCGGCTTAAATTTAAACCGCCGCTCAAATTTAAATTCGGCCACTGGGCTCTGTATGTTTTGTAAACAAAATTGATCTTGGGAACCCTTGGTAAAGTAAAATTCCCTAATTTCCCTGTAAAGCAATTGTAAATAATTAAAATCACTAATTAGTTGAAATGGGACTATTTACGCTGTACGATTGCTAGGTATCAGCTCAGGTTCATTTGACTAACTAAAGTCGATACTTGATGCTAAAAGTCGTTTTCATGTTCTAAAGTTTTCTGGTTCTCTCTGTATAATACACCTTACAGGTGTAGAACAATTAAATAAGACGTTGAGTTGAAATTGAATTAAAAACGATAGAAACAGACTAGGTAAAATTGTTCATTATTTTTTTTACTTAACGATAACTCAAAAAGCATATTGGTCTGAGGCTGTATAAAGGAATTGAGTCTTTGTCACAAACTCAGATTTTCTAATACCTATATATTTGCAACCCAATGTCGTAGACCTTAGATATTTCAAACTATAAATTCTGTAAGATCAAATAGCCTAAGTATGAAATATCAAGGGTATCCGCCATCAGGTTGCAAGATATAGGGATTAGAAAATTTGAGTTTGTGGCAAAAACTCAATTTCTTTGTCTACTTTAGGGTAAAAGCGGGGCTATTATATCTACTGCCTGAGTCCTTAGGCATACTGCCTGATCGCCTTATTTTATCTTTACCAGACTAAATCTATATTAAGACCTACTTCTAGTCATTGAATTTTAACATTTTATAGCTCTTTGGAAAGCCTATAACGAAAAGGAAGCAAATAGCACAATTACCGCAAATAAATTTAGCGTCAGTGAATTTGCACAGTTTTAGTTTTTCTTGAATAAAACGTTAATGTTTAGAAAGTTTTGCAAGCATTTTTGCATAATTGAATTCGCTGGGTCAATACTCAATGGCTTTACAAAAACGTTCAATTTGTTATAATTCGCGAAATTATTTTGTTTTGCACACTTTTTGCTAAGTAACTAGATTTTGCAATAAATTATTATATGTTTTTCTTCAGATTATTGAACTAGAGTCTAAGGGCTTCCAAAAAATGTATCAAATATTATAGATTTGTATCAGAATAATATATATTGTTTCTGATATTTTTATTTTATTTTTGTATTATTTATTTATTGTATAAATAAAAATAAACATTTTAAACAAAATTCAAATTGTCTTAAAGTCCATGAACAGTTCAGTTTAATGTAACATTACCACTTTTGATCAATTAATTAATCAATTTTAATTTTCACAGTATCCCAGTCCATTGCAGTTGTCTTTGGGGTGAAGGAAGTAATGAATTGCCATTTCATGCATTGGGTAGAAGTGGGTCCTCACAAACCTCGGGCAGTGGGGGATATCATCTGTGCAGAAGTGACGTTCCAGCCAATGTTCCATTTCTGAACATTTATTATTATTAGTTTTTTATATGATACAATCTGGAGTGGAATTTTTAAAAAATCGATTTCGTAAAAAAAATGTAGATTTTTTAGATATTAACCCTCGGGTAACAATTGGTTTCCTGAGGACATTTGGTCTAAATTTTTGGCCAAAATTTAGTCCTAACATCTCCTAACATCCTATAGACATTGAGAAATCAATTTCAGAATGATTGGATAATAATTAAGCCTGTGAGCTAGAGAAAAAAGTGTAAAGTCTTTATATCTGAGCAAAGAGCTTTATTATATAGATATAGGCTACAGCTAAAAATTCATCGGTGTGCGAAACTTTAAATGTTAAGAGGTTTTCTTTTCTAAATTTATGACTTTAAATATTACAATAAACGTCATTATAGCTAAAATTGTGAGGTTAAGAAGGCCCAATTAAGTTAAAAAGTAATTTGATAAGTTAAAAAAAACTGTTTGCTTTGTAACGACATCAATTACGCTTCTCTGATAATCCCTATATTTTTCTGAACCATGTTTTTTTTTTTTTTTCAGAATTAAAATTTAAACTTAGTATTTGATTTTTTAAAAAGTTTATACTGTGGATATTGAGTTAAGTAATAAAAGCAAAGCTCTAATCTGAACAAAAGTGTTGCCCTGTGGACGTTTTTTTAAGGAACTTATCGATAGAAATAATTGTATTAATATCAAATATAAATAACTGATTTTTTTCATATCACATGCAATCTATGTTCTTTTTTTTAAAAATGCACATTATTATGTATTCAATGCGTTTACTACAAAAAAGATTTAAATTGCTTTAACAAGTCGATGTCTGTTTTTACAGTTAATTTTTTTTTCAAATAGCTTTATTGAGTTTTTCTTATACCTGTTACAGTTTCTTTATTGGTGAGTATATGCTTTATTTCCTCTAAATAATGCTTGCAGTCGTCACAGGTCATCTCCTAGATGATAAAGAAAATAATGCTTACAGTCGGCACAAGTCATCTCCTAGATGATACAGAAAATAATGCTTACAGTCGTTACAAGTCATCTCCTAGATGATAAAGAAAATAATGCTTAGAGTCGTCACAGGTCATCTCCTAGATGATAAAGAAAATAATGCTTACAGTCGTCACAAGTCATCTCCTAGATGATAAAGAAAATAATGCTTACAGTCGTTACAAGTCATCTCCTAGATGATAAAGAAAATAATGCTTACAGTCGTTACAGGTCATCTCCTAGATGATAAAGACAAACTGACACAAAACATAAGTTAGGAAGGTTTGTGAAGTAGGAGAGTGAAATTGTACAAAAAAAACTAACATTTTTTTCGTAAAATCGAACTCAAGGCCATTTTGATGTACTTAAGTTTGTGATAACTATTCTTTCGATTCTCAGTACTTTATACTTATAGTTTTTGGACAGAAATTTTGTTTTTATCGAGATTTTTAGATTTTATCTTGTCCCGAGCTGTGATAATTGCTTCCATAGGCTTTATTTCATTTTACAAAAAATGTGATTAAGTAAAAACCTCACCTTGAGCATTGGATTTCTTTCCTTCAGGTCACAGGCCTTCAGGTGGTTACAGATTCTGGAGATATTTATTTAATCAGTACGTTATGTTGCAGTATCGTTGAGCGAAACTCCCGAGTTTCCTTTTTGGGGTAAATACTAAATACATTTGTGCAGATTTTAATCTAAAATAGACAAAAAATAAAGAATTTAAAGAAACCTCGGGAAACAATGTTTATTAACAAAAATATTCGTATCTCCAAAACTGTCTGACCTTCTTCATAAACCGGGTTTATGATACTGGGTTTCATTACAATACTCTGTCTTAAGTTTCGGGCTCTGACGATAGAGACAAAATTGGACTGTTCACACTAAATGCCTTAAAATGACCCACTTAACTTAGAATCTCAAAACCAAGCTAAGATCATTCCCGTGGGTCTACCGAGTTCCCCAATCAAAAGTTACGATCCGACATTCAAACAGACAGAGATTACAACGTCATATAAATAGATACCAGACGATAGAAGCGAAATTGGAACACTAAATGACTTAAAATGACCTGACAGCATCTAGAATAATAAACTCCTCAGCAATCATCTCCAGCATAGTTGGATACATCTCGTTAACATGCATAGCACACTCTTCATCCTCTACAGTAGGACAATATTCCTCTTCAAGGTAATTAGCAATGTTGTCGGCAGCAGCATGGGTCCAGTTTCCTAAAAAAATTATTGTTAAAATGATTGAGTTTTTGCCACAAACTCAAAGGTTCTAATTGGATATATTTGCAAACTGATTAGGTAGATCTTTGATATTTCAAACTTACACTATTTGATCTAGCCTATAGGTTGAAAGGTCTATAGGTTGAAAGGTCTATGACATCGGGTTGCAAAGGTAACGGAGTTAGCAAATCAGCGTTTGTGGCAAAAACTCATTCCTTTATGGCATGCAACAATTTTCATTTAATCCCGCCGGGATATTTTCATTGAAAGATACTTGGAAAATCTACTAAGGCAAAACAAAATCCGCAAAATCCGCAAGCCCTCGGGTTAATCATTGAATCCTTGAATCCCCTCTTTAAAAAGGAATGTCATTTACTCTCATACAAATTAGAATCAATGGAAATTTGTCTGAGAGTAAATGATACATTTCAATAAGAAAATGTGTCGATTTAACGGATTATGGTTATGCATTGAATACATCCACTTGACACTTAAAATTACGCATACAGTCCCTTTAAAAGAGTTTACCTATAAGAGCAACAACATCAAGGCACTCCTCACAGCTTTCAAACCCGTAGGCCTGGCCAGCCAAGCATAAAGCAAAGATAAACAGTGAAGTCTGCATTTTGATTTTCAGGTTTTAGAATAATACTTCTTTTATATACTCATCTTTATCTTTTTAAGATAAAACTATCTACGCAGAAATCATCTGTTTATTTTATTTTTCGATTCTTAATAAGAGTAAACAACATGTTCAATAATAAATGTTTCTTTTGAATTTTACACATAGTTCTGCTTGTCTGTTTTTCGGATTATTTTTTGTGGTAACTTACATGGAATATTTAATTCCGGTTAAAATTTCAAATAGTTTCATTAAAATATTGCGACATGCAAAAATGTTAAGTCACCAATGAAATCAGAAAAATCAGCATTTTTTGTTTCTTGGGCATTGGAAGCACGTTTTGTATTCCCTACAAAAGTCAACCTACTAAACTTGAAATTTTTAAACCAAGTTAAGAACAATTTCCGGTTTTATTAAGTTATCCAATCAAATTTAAGGCAAATCGGTCAAGGAGTTTATGAGTTTTTATTGAATATGCAAACAGACAGACAAACTGAGATGGTTACTACTTTAATTAAATAAAAATAGTGACAATATTTATCTAATATTATTATAGTACTTTGTAGATAAAAGGGGCATAAATGCGTTTTAAAAAAGTTTTTTATGTTTTCCAAGTTCTCTCTCTCTCTCTTTCTAACTTTCTCTCTCCGAGTCCCAGTAGGATTTTGTAAATTGTCTATTCCATATTATTGTCTTAAAGATCCTCTGAACCATTGAATCCATCCTGCCGGATTTCCTCGCATTAAAGTAAAAACGGAAGATCAAAAAAGTGTTAAGGGATTGTGCACTAAAATTCGGAAAAAAAGCCTGTTGTGTTCCCTTTTCAAACCAACATTTTTTGAGAGTAAGAATTTTTGAACTTTATTCAAAAATCTGAACGACCCCTTTGAAATATTACGTAATCTATATTTTATACTGCTTTAAAGGGACCGTTCACTTATTTGGGTAATTTCAGGGTAAACTAAACAGCCTATCAGCTATTCATCGGTAATAGTCTTACTTTTTAAAGACATCTGTGGCCGGAGAAAAAGCCGATTTTTCGTTCAGAATTTGAGCGCAAAGGGACGGTCCCTTTCTATACACACAATTTGATGTTTTTTTCAGTAACAACAGCCCAATAAAATTT